TGGACCCATGAATTCTGGCTACAAGTGGAACAATACTATATACAGACACTAATTCAGAGCATATACAGCCTTCTGGAGGACTTTGTTCAAGCCCTACAAAGTACTGTCACCTAACTGGCTCTGTAACTGTGACTGAAAGGTGATTCCATTATATCAAGCCAGTTGATTCAGGATGATGGGGAATTCAGTAAGATCAGCAAATTTCATGAGCATGAGAATGCTCCTGCACTTCTTTGGTTGTGAAGTGAGTTCCTTGGTTAAAAGCACTGCTGCATGGAATAACATGATGGTAGATAGGGCATTCTGTAACTCCATGGATGGTGGTTTTGTCAGAGCATTTTGTGCATGCAAGGCAAATCTATATTCATGTAACTGTATGTTCCAATCAAAACAAAACAAAACAAAACAAAACACTGCCTCTTCCATGATGGAAGTGGTTTAATTATAATCAACCTGCCACTAAGTACCCTAGAGAATAGTGCCATATCAGGGCCTCAGTGTTGGTCTCTGCTGCTGGTAGATTAAGCACCCAGCAGTGGCCACAGCCAGGTCAGCCTTGGTGAGTTGAGGTTCACATTGCTGAGCCCATGGTGAACCTTCACTCTTGCCACCATGGCCACTTTGTTCATGAGGACATTGGACAATGATAAGGTGGCTGGGGAGAGAGGCTGACTGATATCCAGATAACGGGTCATTCTTTCCACTTGATTGTTAAAGTCCTCTTCTGATGAGGTCACCCTTTGGTGAGCATTCACATGGAACATAGATATTTTCATATATTTTTTCCCACTTAGAGAGTTCTAACCAGACATTTCTTCCTCATATTTCTTTGTCAGAAATTTTCCAGTCATATGCCTTTCAAGTCCCCGATCACCTGACCAAATCATTGAATACAGCTTATGAATTAACACATAATTGCACATCTGCCCATTTCTCCCTCCAAGCACAACTGGGTACAGTGCTCAAAGTCTCTATGCATTGAGAAGATTATCCCTCACCACCATCCTTCAGGGATGTCCCAGAAAGGGGGTATGGTTCTGCAACTGTGCATTTTTGGGTGGTGACGAAATATCATGAAGAACCATCTGTAAGCCAGGCCCTAGTTTTCTCTGCCTCTATCAACTCATGCAAGCTGGGAGAGAGAAGATAGGGTGGCAGAAGTAGAAACCATGGACACTTATGCCACTTATTCATGTAGCTTATTTGTGCCTTCAGGGTCTGCTCATGGCTGATCACACATATACCACTTCCATTTGATGACATAATGTTGCAACGCATACCCAAGTGGGTCAGACAACACTAAGTTTAATAATAGGCGGCTCACAGTTCAAGACTACCCTGGGCAACATGGTGAAACCCCATCTCTACTAAAACATAAAAAATTAGCTGGGTGTGGTGGCGTACACCAATAGTCCCAGCTGCTCAGGAGGCTGAGGCACGAGAATCACTTGAGCCCCAGAGGTGGAAGTTGTAGTGAGCCGAGATTGCTCCACTGCACAGCAGCCTGGGTGACAGAGTGAGATGTGAGACTCGGTATCCCCTACCCGCCCAAAAAAGATAGGCAGCTCAGATTGCATGGTAACTGTATGGCCCATGGGCAAGCATTCAGTTTCTGCTGAGGTCCGGTAGCAGGCCAAAAGCTATCTCAAAAGGAGAATAATTAACTGCAGATGGTGGCAGGCCTTGCCTCCAATTCACAGGAGCCTTTCCTGCAATTTACCTATAGGAGCATGCAAAAGCCTTCAAACAGTATTCCCATCTGTCACTGTCAGCCTAAGTGCCATTGGATCTGTTGGATCCTGTGGTCCAAGTGGCAGAGCAGCCTGGAACAGTTACAGAGCCTTCTCCTGGTCTGAGTCCACTCAAAACTAGCTGCCTTTCAAGTCACTCAGTAGATGGATCAGTGTAACGTGCCCAAATGAGGAATGTGTTGCCTCCAAATTCCAAATAGGCCCACCAGGGATTGTGCTTCTTTCTTGGTTGTAGAAAAGGCAGATGCAGAAACATATCTTTTACTTTAGAAAGGATATCTGATTCACATGTCCCACACCATTGGACCCCTGGAAATTTCACTGGTGTAGAAAGCTCCTAAATTTTAGCTGAATTTATTTCCCACCCTCTGACATGCAAACATTTTAATAATAAGTCCAGAGTGGTTTCTACTAGTTTCAATTACTACCAGTGTAATGGATTACTGTGATATCTTGTGGAAGAAGAAGACAATTAAGATCCCTGTAAGATAAATTGTGGATTAGAGCTGGGGAGTTTGATACACTACTGAAGTAGACAGTAAAGGTGTACTGCTGGCCTTGCCCGCTGAAAGCAAACTGCTTTTGGTGGAACTTAAGGACAGGTATGAAGGAAAAGGAATGTACCACAACAACTGGTACCAGGAGATGTGTGAATTTGCTTAAGCAATAAAATCATATCTGGTACAACAGCTGCACTTGGAGTCATCACTTGGTTAAGCTTACAATAATACACTGTCATTATTGAGGCTCCATCTGTCTTCTGCACAGGCCAAACAGGAGAGTTGAATGGGGATATGGTGAAAATCACTACCTCTACATTTTTCAAGTCCTTGATGGTGGCACTAATCTCTGAAATATCTCTGGGGATGAGTTAGTTGATTTACTATGTTCCTAGGTAGAGGCAGCTCTCATGGCTTCCATTTGCCTTTTTTCACCATCACAGCCTTCACTTCATGGGTCAGGGAACCACTGTGGGGATTCTGCCAGCTGTTGAGAATGTCTGATCCAATTATGCATCTGGAACTGGGAAATGACCACAAAAAGGGTTTAGGGATCCACTGGACTCACTGAAAGTTGGACCTGAGCAAAAACTCAACCGATTATCTGGGCTACATGATCCCCTACTCTGACTAGAGGGTGACAGTAATATTTTGGGTTTCTTGGAATCAATGTCAGTTCAGAGCCAGTGTCCATGAGTTCCCAAGAGTTCTGATTATTTCTCTTGCCTCAGTGCATAGTTACTCTGGTAAAAGGCTATAAGTTTCTTTGGGGAAACATGGCAAAAAGATTAAGAGTATAAATTGTTGGTAACGTACCAGGGTTCTTCCTGGAGGGGACCCAGCCTTCCTTTCATTAAAGGGGATCTGCTTCTGTAAACTGGCTTAAGACTGGGAAACTGGAAACTGATTGAGGGGCCATGGTTCTCTGTTTTTCTAATTCAAATTAGACTTCTACTTGAAAACTTTCTGCTTATAGAGATCACATGAGTTCTTAGGAGGTTTCTTATCTAGCTCACTTCTAGAACACCATGGTTAACTAGCCAACACCATAGAACTCCATGAGTCAGTCTACTCTAATTGTTGCTTTGTCTCTATTATTGATTATGGCAACTGTGCTTACCCAGCCTTTGATGATTAAATGCCAACACTTGGCCCTTGCCATCTCAGAATACAGTTATTTCCATGACATTTAAGCTTTTTAATTGAGTGATTGAGGTTCCCACTGTAAGGTCCAGACTAAAGATAAGAGTAATCACAGAGCTCTTCAGGGATGCTGGGTCTCCCCCAACCAATCTATTTCTCAATGTGTTCATGAAAGGTGTGTCTTCTGGATTCTTCCAGTGTGGGTGAGTAGGTTTAAGTGACAAATACACTCCAGCATTCCAATCTCCCTAAGTCTTTGAAATCTCATCCTCTATTATAAACCAAGGGAGATCTAGAATCTCCAGCTTGCTCATGGTGGGTCATCTTCTTTTTTTAAAAAAAAACATTATTTGAAACAGTGTCTCACTTTGTCACCCAGGCTGTAGTGCAGTGGTGCAATTATGGCTTACTGCAGTCTCACCCTCCCAGGCTCAAGTGATCCTCCCACCTCAGCCTCTCAAGTAGCTGGGACTACAGGCATGTGCCACCATGCTCAGCTATGTGGGACATCTTTGGACCCATTTTTAGACAATCAAACTGTTATCACCTTTCTTAACTCCCTGAACTGCAACATTAAGTGCAAAATCTCTGCTTAGTGGACACATACCAATAAATTCAGCCAGACTCAACTTTATATTCCTTCTACCATTACTCACCTTTAGGGGTCTGCTGGGACTTGTATCTAATTAGAGGTCAAGAAGCAAAAAGTGGTGGTGGAGGTGAGTCCTGAGGGGAATAGGCAGTGTCTTGCCTGGCAGCTGTCTCAGGGGAGGCTATCATTGTTTCCTCAGGTAATGAAGAGTGAATCCCTGAAACAGAGATGGAAAGGCCTATATGTTATGGGTGGTGATGCCTCTGACACTGGGGTGGGTGTAGGGAGGCCACTTCTGCTGGCAAACAAGGCTCGTCAGAATTCAGAAGCTCAATGTCCCCAGCTTCATGAGCATTTGCTCGTACTTCCCCATCCCAATTTAGAGAATCCCATTCTTTCCCAGCCAATGCCCTTAGCAGACACCCTGTGAGGCTAAGAGTATAATTTTCATTGTAATTCAGCCAATCACATGATGAGTGCATGTGTTTGATTTAACAATTCCAGCCCTGTGACTAAAGAACAGAAGATTCTGGCTCAGGGCACACTTAGAAGCTCTTAGGCTACTACTGGAGTGGGACGTAAAAATTTGCATCCCCGACCTCATCCCTTTCTTTCATCGGGATGAAATAAAGTCTGCTGCAACCTTACATAAAAAAGAAAAATCCTCCTGTGAGGATATCTGCTCAGCAACTGTCTGTTCAATCTTAGATTGGCACCATCCTGGTAACTGATCCTTGTCCAGCAACATTAGAAGCAACTAACTGATGGTCATTATAGTCTGCTTTCCAAAAATGTTTTAAAGTACCATACGCAGCGCCATCAAGTTTTTTGCCTCTTATAAATGGTTGATTTGGATTATCAAATGCAGATGTTGTTCATATTTCTATAAGCAGTTCATGCCATGGACTATTTATTAGGGCCCTTTCTACTGTTACAGGCAGACTCCTTAGACATTTTAGGTCTAATTTGATTAAACAGTTAATTCCCCAAACTGCAAAACCAATTAAGGAAACTCATCCTTAAAATTCTGTTCCTCTAGAACCACTCTTGGTACCAAAATTTGTATTAGGCAGGGTACTTCAGGGAGAACCAATAGGATATATATTGGGAAAGTTATCAGAATGAAAATATAGTCACGTATTTTTGAAAAAACAAATGACAGACCCAGAAAAGGCTATGGAGAGTTCTCATGCACAAATGCCTCATAACAAAGAGAATCACAAGCAACTCTGCAAAGAATGCAACCTTGCACAAAGTCTGCTGCAACCTTTTATTAAAAAAATATTTTGTGAGGATACCTTCCTAGCAACTGCCTGCCCAATCTTAGATTGGCACCATTCTCGTTATTGATCCTTGTACCCAAGGATAATTATCACAGAATAATTATGTAATACTATTCATTTCTCCTTTAAAAAATACTTGTCTTTTTTTTCCTCCCTGAATACACACAAGGTTTACTATGGTGTAAGGATTTCCATTGCAATGCCCATCCCTGAAATTATCATTTTATTCTAGAGAATCTTCCTCTCTGTTATTTAGGATAACAAGGTATATATAGATATGGATACTTAGATATAGATGAGAAGTTATTTATTAGGGAAACTGGCTTACATATGGGACTGAGACGTCCCATGACAAACCACCTCCAAGCTGGAAACCCTGGGAAACTGGTGGCATGGCTTGGTCCAAGTTTTAAAGCCTCAGACCAGGGAAGCTGATGGAGTAATTCTCAGTCCTAGGCCAATTGTCTGACACTTTGGGAGGCAGGAGCCCTGCTGGTATAAGTCCTAGAGTGCCCAGGTTACTTGGCTTGAAGTACTGATAGTCAAAGGCAGGACAAGGAGAGTCTCAGCAGTAAGAAAAAGAGAGAAGAAATCCTTTGCTCTCCTTTTTCATTCCATATGGACCTCCAGCTGATTGCATAGTGCCTGCCCATTCGGAGGATGGATTTTCCCCTCTCAGGCCACAGACTCACCTGCCAACCTCCTCTGGAAACACTGTCACAGACACACTAAGAAGTCATACTTTACCTGTTCAACAGGTATTTCTTAATCTAGTCAAGTCGACACCTAAAATTAACCATTACAGTGCCCCTATAAAAGAGATGTTAGAAAAGTCCCTTGCCCCTTCTGTCATGTGAGCTCACAGCAAGAAGGCACCATCTACAAACCAAGAGGCAAAACCTCACCAAACACCAAATCTGCAGACACTTTGATCTTATACTTCTTAGGCTCCAGAGCTGGGAGAAATACATTTATGTTGTTTACAAACCACCTTGACTGTGGTAGTTTGTTATAGCAGCACAAATGGACAAAGACAGACCTATGTGCTTTTGTTGTTAGAGTCCATAACGTGTGCTTATAAAAGTTGGAAGAAACTAATTGGGGCCAGGCACAGTGGCTCATGCCTGCAATCCCAGCACTTTGGGAGGCTGAGGCAGGCATATCACCTGAGGTCAGGAGTTCGAGACCAGCCTGGCTAACATGGTGAAATCCTGTCTCTACTAAAAATACAAATATTAGCTGGGCATCGTGGTGCGCACCTGTAATTCCAGCAACTTGGGAGGCTGAGGCAGGTGAATTGCTTGAACCTGGGAGGCGGAGGTTGTAGTAAGCCAAGATCAGGCCACTGCACTCCAGCTTGGGTAGCAGAGCACGACTCCGTCTCAGAAAAAAAAAAAAAAAAAAAAAACAAAACAAACAAAAATCCCACAAAATAAACCCAAAAAGCTAATTGGTTCACAAAGATATCACATCTACCAAATTTCCTAGTATGTTCATGTTTATCAACCCAATTAATATTCCCCTGCTTACTGATTTGGCAGAGCCATCTAGTTTATATGTGAATATAAGAAATAAGTAATTAAATATGAATGCATTTAACCAGAGGAGAGTACACTAGCTGAGCAAGTATTCTGTGCCAACTACTGTTCTAGGTATTTGACTTAGATTATCTGAATTACTTCTTAACACAATGCTAACACAGAATTATTATTCCCACTTACAGGCAAAGAATATGGACTCAAAACAGACACTGGATGACTTACACAACGTCCTGATGCCCCAAAGGCTAGGCTGAAATGCACATGGGTTTTCACAATATCATGGTTCCTCATCTCTTTAAAGTTTACATTTTAATCCTCATATAAGCTTTTGAGTAAGTACTATTACCTTCATTTTATAGATGAGGACACTGAGGCTCAGAGAAGTTAAGTAAATTGCCCAAAATGGGATAGTTTACATATGCAAAAAACAAAATTCTCATTCAGATATGTTTGACTCCAAAAGATAAATATTAGCAATAGTACCTGGTTTTCAGCATCTCTACTTTTTTTTGTTGTTGTTAAATACAATACTGTCCAACTGAGCCAACTGACCATTGACTTGCAACTTCCAAATCAGAAGACTGGGATGGCACCCAATCAGAGGCAGCATTATATATGAATAGAGGCAACACTAGACTCAAAATTATAGTATGATTAGCCATACATGAAACCTAACTTCTTTCTCTTGTCTAACCTAGGAGTTGAGAAGTTATTGACAATACTGGGTCTTCAAAACGTAACTAAGGACAATTGGGCTTGTATTGAGCAGTGAGATTATATAACTGACAAGAAAAACACAGCATAAAGTGTTTTGCTTGCTAACTCATTACTAAGCGTAGCAGTGCCTGGGGTGTGGAGAACAGGCCAGCAGGGGAAGATTGGGAAACCAGATGGCAAACCCTTAGCAGGATTGTCCAGTCTTTTGGCTTTCCTGGAAAAAAAAAAAGAATCGTCTTGGGCTACATAAAATGCACTAACACTAATAACAGCAACAGCAGATGAGCTAAAAAAAAAAATCACATAAAAACCTCATAATGTTTTAAGAAAGTGTACAAATTTGTGTTTTAAGAAAGTTTATGAAAGTTTTAAGAAAGTTTACGAATTTGTGTTGATCCACATTCAACGGTGTCCTGGGCCACATGTGGCCTGAGGGGCGGGGGTTGGACAAACTTGCCTTAGGCTGAGCTGAGATGTGAACAAGGAAAATCTGATTCTGTCATACGACCTTACCACCTGTGGGTGAATAGGGACAAGTTACTTAAACCCCTGTGGGCATTGTAAAGATTAAAGAAGTTTCTGCAGGTGATATACTGGTGTAGATCCTGACACACAGTAATAAGAATTCCAGGTCGTTGCTATTGTAAACAGTGCTGCAATGAACATTCGTGTGCACGTGTCCTTATAGTAGAACGATTTGTAATCCTTTGGATATATACCCAGTAATGGGATTGCTGGGTCAAATGGACTGGATAGGGAAAATGTGGCACATATACACCATGGAATATTATGCAGCCATCAAAAATGATGAGTTTGGGTCCTTTGTAGGGACACGGATGAACCTGGAAACCATCATTCTCAGCAAACTGACAGAAGAGCAGAAGATCAAACACCACATGTTCTCACTCATAGGCGGGTGTTGAACAATGAGAACACATGGACACAGGGAGGGGAGCACTACACACTGGGGTCAGTTGGGGGGAAATAGAGGAGGGACGGTTGGTGGTGGGGAGCTGGGGAGAGATAGCACGGGGAGAAACGCCAGATGTAGGTGATGGGGAGGAAGGCAGCAAATCACACTGCCACATGTGTACCTATGCAACAATTTCACATGTTCTTCACATGTACCCCAAAACCTAAAATGCAATAAAATAAATAAATGGGAAAAAAAAAAAAGAATTCCAGAACTGCAGTTGGGTGCAGTGACTCACGCCTGTAAATCAATACTTTGGGAGGCCAAGGCAGGCAGATCACGAGGTCAGGAGTTCGAGACCAGCCTAACCAACATGGTGAAACCCCGTCTCTAGTAAAAATACAAAAATTAGCTGGATGTGGTGGCATGCACCTGTAATCCCAGCTGCTCGGGAGGCTGAGGCAGGAGATTTGCCTGAATCTGGGAGGCAGAGGTTGCAGCGAGCCGAGATTGTGCCACTGCACTCCAGCCTGGAGGACAGAGCAAGACTCAGTTTAAAAAAAAAAAAAAAATTCCAGCATTGCTTATTGGCTTATCATGATAGCATCATCCAATGGAGGTTTCCCTTTTTTTTTTTTTTAATCAGTTTCAGTCCAGTCTAAGGTGTATCTTTGTTCATTCAAGGTGCTATACATTTCTCTTTATTTCTCTTTTAAAAGGAGAGGATAGGGAGCAGCTGAAGAAAGGCATGCAAGGATCTCTTGAGAGGCTGCCTATAGCTTTATGGTACAGCGGGTTCTGCAGACCAGGTGTTTGAGACACCAAGTCTTTTGCAGGTATTTAGCAAATCAAAGCCGACAGCAGGAGTCTGTCAGCCTGACATATGATAAACACCCTCTGCAATTTAGCACTTGAACACAGGGAGTGAGCTGCAGGATGAGTTAATTGCCAAGCTATCAACAGTGCTGAGTTGATGTTTCTTGAGCACTCTCTAAACCAGCTGAAATTATCTAGCAAACTCTGGGACTCTAGGGTGAAGGGAGGTTTTCAGGTAGAAAGAGACAAATGGGTGATGGTTAATAGTGAGGGGATTGGCTAGCAGTAACACAACCTATATTAACCAACTCTCAAAAATATGATTACCTAGAGGCAGATAAACCTCCAAAATATCAGAATCAGAAGGAGCCCAAGAAATAATATGATAAAAGCCTTCCATTTTACAGGAGAAGAAACGGAGGCCAGGAGTGAGGAAAGGGTTGAGATGTGAGAAATGCATGAAAGGCTACAGAGTTTATCAGTGACAAAGACAGGAGTAACATCTCAATCCTTTAAGCCTGAGTTATGTTTTATATATATATATATAATATAT